TCTTAAAATGACAACATCAATTATTGCAAAATTATTTTTCTTCAAATGATTAACTGTTTGGTAGTCATTTATTTCAAATAATTAACCGGTAATAAAATAAACTGCTTCGCTGAGCGCAGCTGGATACACCTGCAGAGGTCCAACCCTGAACAGTTGGGGCAAAAATGGACAAGCTTGATACAGGTCTGAATTTGGATTGTAATTAAATATTTGACATATTATAGGTTTCTGAATAAATGTAGTCAAAGAACTTGAAATTGGTTATATGAATTGAATTTATATTCAATTAAAGATTTCTTGCTGTTGTGCAATACACTGTGCTGCTATGCAATACTTAGTAAATCTGTTGTCAGACTATAAACAAATAAAGATCAATTTCTTCTCAATGTCATATTTGAAATTTATGAAAATCAATAGGGAGATTACATTATTAGCTATAATTAATTCAGCAAAGTTTCATGAGAACTGCTGAAAGCACTTTTGAGTTATTGTCCAAAAACTGGAAAATCCCCCCTTTTTAAATGAATAAAACCCCAAAACTCAGAAATGTAAAATCTAAAATTTATAAAATTCTAAAGGGAGCTTACATCAACAGATATAAACAATTCACCAAAGTTTCATGAGAACTGCTGAAAGCATTTTTTAGTTATTGTCCGAAAACTGGAAAACCACCCTTTTTTGATGAATAAAACCCTGTAACTGGGAAAAGTAAAATCTAAAATTTATAAAAATCCAAAGGGAGCTCATGTCAATAGATATAAACAATTCACCAAAATTTCTTGCAAGTTGGTGAAAGCATTCTTGAGTTATTGTCGGAAAACTGGAAAATCCCCCCTTTTTTAATGAATAAAACCCCGAAACTCAGAAACAGTAAATCTGAAATTTATAAAAAACGAAAGGGAGCTCATGTCAATAGATATAAACAATTCACCAAAGTTTCGAGAATATTGGTTAAAGCTTTTTTGAATTAATGTCCAACATGTTGACAACAGACAGACGGTCAACGGTATACCATAATATATCCCGTACAGCACCCCATTATTCTCTATTCTTTTTTTTCAGCACCCTATTAATCTCTATTCTTTTTTTTCAGCACCCCATTAATCTCTATTCTTTTTTTTCAGCACCCCATTATTCTAGATATTGTTTATATTTCAGCACCTCATTTGTCTATATTCTTAAGCATTTTGGCTTATTTTCCTCTATTCTTTATTTTTTGGCCAATTTTTCTGTATTCTTATATAATTAATCCATTATTCTCTATTCTGAAAAAAAAACATCCAGACTTTCATTTCAGGGCTTGTCATCAGGGCTTCCTAAATTAAATTGAGGCAGCCAAACAGTTTCTTCCATTCTGTTTTTGTTCTTTTTAGACTTTGTAACTCAAGGCAAATTTTGAGATAATCATTGGAGAATCAGGACAATGACTTGTATGAAAACCATTATTTCATACTTTTGATACGCATCATATGGATCCTTGTACTCATACATTGTACACAAATGTACATTAAAGTTCTGTTAACAGTCCATAGTTTGAGGTTTGTACATCAAAGTTCTGTTAACTAACAGTCCATAGTTTGAGGTTTGTACATCAAAGTTCTGTTAACTAACAGTGCATAGTTTGATGTTTGTACATGTCAAAAGTTCTGTTAACTAACAGTGCATCGTTTGATGTTTGTACATGTCAAAAGTTCTGTTAACTAACAGTGCATCGTTTGAGGTTTGAGTATGGAACATCTACAAATTTACATTTGCTTTATATACTCTTTATTAATGCAATAACAAACTGAGAAGAAACTTTGCTCTAGTTTTGAAGAATATGTTTTCAATTTGGTCTAGGTGAGCATAAAAGAGGTCCAGAGTATGTAATGAAACGGTTCCTAGTTACTATGCCTTTGGTCTAAGAAACTTCACTATTATTTTAACACAATTTAGATAATCAGCTGTCTTCCTCAATTTTGATTTCTTTTTAAATAAATATTGTATCCAATCTATCTTGTCGCTGTGGGTTTCCTCATGAAGATTCTGAACATTTCTTCTTTAAATGTCCTTTATACAATTTTACAAAAGTCATATTTTTAGGAAGAGTCTTATCTGGTTACCAGCTGACCTTGTATTGGATTTAGAGATATATCAATATGGCAAATGAGCAAAATAAAGAAATATTGGTCTTCTTTTACTTTAGGGGTCCCAACATTACTATTAAAAAATGGAGGGCCACACATTATAAAGTGTATTTAAAATGCATTGTGCTGTTGTTTTATTATATACTGTTGTATTGTTTATATAGTATTGGCTTGTATATAGGTTGTGGGACCCCTAAAGTAAAAGCAAGCATTAGTGCACTCTTTTACTTTAGGGTCCCATTAAAACCACCTATATATAGATTGAGCAGCGTCCAAAAAAGTGATGTGTTTTTTAAAGTTTTACTCAATATCTATACAGAAATCAGATAAAAGGATGTGAGGATGCAAAATTTAATACCAAAAATGTCGGGACCCATAAAGTAAAAGAAGGCAGAAATATTTAGAAATGTTTTTGTCTACATGTATGTTAAAAAGACCAGAAGTTTCTTGTTTAATCATGAGTATAACTGAATGTAGTGGTCCACATACACACATCTGCATATTTTTCTCTTCCTTTTTTTCCTATCTTTCCTTTTTCTATATCATGTATATTGTATGTTTATATATGTCTCTTAAATAACAGGTGTTTTTTTTAATTATGTAATAATGAATTTATATATTTGCATGCTCGAAATTCTATAGTCAATTATATAATATTGTAATTTGTACAAATGTATCTGAGGAGAAAGATGATCTAAGTTGGACTAACTTGTGTCAAATCCTTTTTGCAATCTTTTGCAAATAAAATATGTTAAACTAAACTGATGAAGTTTGAAACAGAGACAAGTTTGCAATTCGCCGTTTCAGAATCTAATGCATTCAGGGTAATATTTTCAAAAGCGTATACCCAAACGTTGTGATTGGTTTAAAACTTTCTAAACCAGTTGATGTTTTCTGTATATAAAGAAGAAGAAGAATGGACATTGAGCCCATGACATAACGTTATTTTCATTTTGGTGTATGAACATGATGAGATTACCCATAGTCCTTTAGATTCTGATAAGGTGAATTACACTGTATTGGTACATTTATACAATTTAACAGAGAAAAATATAGTTTAATGCTAGGAAAATATAAACAGATGATAATGTTTGACATTCAAACTTTGTTCAAAGTGTTAAATTTTTCGCTCTTTTATTTATAAATAAGTTAAGCTGGTTGAGGGTCAATTGGTGTAAATGACATCAATGATTCATATGCAACTATTCCAGTCATAATTACGTTCGATAACTCTGCATGTTACTGGTTTAATTAGGATTATGTAAAATTTACTAGTTACCCAATGAATGGTTTAAAGAAAATTGAAAAAATATAGTTATTTCACCTCGGTTAATATCCATTCGAGGTCTTCTTTTATAAATATAAAATAATATCGTAATGAATTTCATTGAGAATCTGACAACACTAATCAACATAGGTATTGTCATAACATACATCTACATAGGTATTGTCAAAACTTACATCGTGATTAGGTGCCATGTTTGTTTTCTTTGATTACGTTGATGTTATGACTTAATATCTCCTTAGTCTAGCTATGTCCTTGGCTATCATTATAGTGACAATAACGTGTCATATTTAATTGCAATATAAACAGTGAAATTAAATTGAATTATTTGCATGGACAAAATAAGTGTCGAACATCGTCTACGTTTGAAAATTATTTGGTCGCCATTTTTTTAAATTTTTATAAAAAAACAACAGCATGTATCAGCTTTATCATGTTTATCAAAAGGAACCAATGTTTGATTCTATGCTGCTTTAAGGTAAGACAATGACTGAAAACGCGAGCATCCAACAGTTATTTGATTTTCATTGTAACAATCTTACAAAACATATTTTTACCAAGTCGGCCCACGCTGTCAATGTGGTCGCCATCTTGAAAAATAATACCCGATTTTCTGAAAATAGCTAATTTTCAAATCAATTTGGAAGGGACGTAATAAAAAATTAAACTATTGCATGTACGATATTTCAAATACTTATGAATATAGTAATAAGCACATATTTCAACAATTTTTCCATCTGTTTTGTTTAAATCGCAATTTAAGGTTTAACACGACAGAAAATCCAATATTTATCAGAGTTGGATGATTTAACAGTGTGAATTATCGAGGCAACAAGACAAATTTTTAAAAGCATTTGGAAGGGAGAAGACCAAAATTTAAACTTTTCCAAAAGGCATAAATATATTTCTAAATATATGAGGAATTACTATATATTTCCACACTTTTTTTATCATGAACTTAAAGTAATTTATTTTATCGATTCCTGAAAGCCCCTGTGCATTTCTATACATTTTACTTGGGCATGATACGGGTGATGTGTGACGTCGCCAATGTCACGTGATGACTGCTATAGTTGGATATGTCACATGTGTATTTCCCGTACATTTTAATTGTCACAGTGCTTATGATATTATGTCACAATAACAGTTAATTGATCAATGACATAATTTACACTGTTTGATCTTTGATCAACCTATGTAATTTATTATAAAAATAGGAACTCAATGGAATGTCAACAAGGTGATATGGGATTTTATAATTGTTTGCCCTCCCCCTTTTTCAGCTTATATACAGTCAGTGGTCTCCTCAACGATGATATTAATTGATTAGACTCTATAATGATATATTATAGAGTGGAGTTTATATTTAAATGTATGTGAGATACCATCTGTTGCAATATACATGTATATTTGAAAACCAGACAAAAACAAGCAAAGGGAAGATAGTGATCGAGATCTGGCCAATGACCGAATATCAATGTTTATATTCAGTCCAGGTCGATATCAACCAAAGTCGACAATTCTGTTGCATGTATTTGCTATGCAGATTGGACTCTGGTGCCTATTTGCTACGCTTAAATGCATATTACCGAGACTGGGGATGCCATACTCCGTTTCCTGTCTGCTTCAGACGGAAATGTGTGGTTTAGTAATAAAAAAAAATTGTCATTCATGGTATACTTGTATTTGTTTGATGAATACCTAATTTTACATAAATAAATGGGAATAGATATGATAAGCTGTGTGTTTCCATAAAATAATTATCATGATCCCACTCTGATGACTATCTAACTGTAAAATTGATTCATTTAAAAACAACTAAATTTACAAAATATACTCAAACTGTTAAAATTATTTTCGTATTTGGTAAAGTCAATGACCAGTCATGTGGCGTGACACCCAGTATATTAGTTAGTGTAAATGTCCCAGGTATAACGGATTTTTTTTAAGAGAGAAAACTTCAGATCAGCTTTGGAATATTAATCATCATAATGTTCCAGTAAATTTCATTGAGTCCACGGTTGATAAAAAGAGCATTTTCACCACACAAAAAAACAAAAACAAACAAATAAAAAAAGAAAAGAAACAAACTGTTTTAATCTATTTGTTCTAGTCATAGACATATATCTCTGTTCAAGCTGTTTGAAGCTGATAAAAGCAGTAAAACGTACCCTTGAATATCAATTAAACACTGACTTGATTTAAACTAAATTTCACAGACTTTATCAACGACATATATATATATATGATCATATATCGTCTCTGTCAACGGTAGTACAAACGGTAAAATTTTTGTCTTAGATACATGATTTCAGTCTATTAGTTGTTATTGGCTTTGAACAAGGATTTGTATAGTGACATCCCACTATACAAATCCTTGCTATGAACTAGCTTTCTGTAATTGCGAGTATTCACAGGTCTGTACTTTGTGTATTTGGTTTTTTTTATGGTTTTTATATGGTGTGCTGGTGGTTTGTAACACAGGATTGTGTAAGCGTCTAGTGTGGTTAGAGCCATAGGCTCTTTATCACCGCTGGCTAGCCTGCTTTGCAGGTGAAAAGAAAGCCGAGTGTGTTAGTCTTTCTGCCAGTACATAGCCTCTACAATATTCAACCCTTCTAACGCCTCCCCGCGACGGCATATGGTAACTAGGATCTAGCATCCTAGGCATTATTGTAGAGGATCTCGGAGCAGCAAGGACCCTAGAGATGCAGTGTGTAGGCCCATCGGCGCGTGGACACGCCCTTGCACTCATCAACTTTGTCCCAACTATGGGTAAATAGAACTACTGCCTTGTGGTTAGATTTGGGAAGATCAAAGGCTATGGGAGCAGACCCAGAAAGAAAAGCCGGGAAGATAAGATGGAGCTCGTCAGCCATAGTAGGCAATTGTCTATGGGAAGGAAAATCCAGACAGCAAAACTCCATCCTGCAGGTAGTAGGTTTCTCGCATGGCTAATCACCAGGCAGAGTAAAAAGAAGCTGATTACGGAAACCACAGTGGCCTCATGTGCAAGTACGCACGAAGAGGATTAAGTAAGTAAGTAAATGCTTTGTTTCGATCCGTGATGAGTCAAGCCCCGTTTTCAGCTGAGTTTTATATAGTTTGCTCCTATGTTGAACTGTTACACCACTGTCACAGGAAGGGATTAGCGCCAGCAAAAATGTTTAACCTGACACATTCTGTATGTGCCTGGCCTATGCAAGTCATGAGCCTGTAATTCAGTCGTTGTCGTTTGTTGCTGTATATTGTAATTTTTTTTGTTCGTTTATTGTTTTGTACATATATCATGCTTTTAGTTTTCTCGTTTGAATTGTTTACATTTGTCATTCGCGATTTTGGGACCAATTATGCAATATGGGTTACGGTCATTGTCGAAGACCGTACGGTGAACTACATACAATTGCCTTCAACAATGAGCGTAACCCATATCGTATAGTAAGCTATAATTGGCCCCAATATTGCGAATGTAAAACAATTCAAACGATAAAAATAAAGGCATGATATATGTACAAAACAATAAACGAAAAACAAATGAGTTGTTAACTTCTATGTCATTTAGTCTATAATAAAGAGTTATCTCGTTGCCTTGCAATCATACCACATATTCTTATTTTCTTATATATACAAAGTAAAGTTTGTTACATATAGTTTTATAATTAGAATAATATTAAAGAATATGCTAAACAATGTTTCATTTAAGCCAGTAAAATTTAAAAAAGTTTATCATATATTCTTGAAGCTTGTGTTTTTTCCCATTAATATTAAAACACCTTAAAAATGATAAGAAAAAAGGTTTGTTTTGATTTCATGTGATGCATAAAGAGATTATACTTGAGACTGTGATTTGCCCTCAAAATTTGAGTTTTTGAAACTTTATTTGAAAACGAGTGATTCGCACGATTTTTATTTAATGTGCGTTAAAGGTTCGTCTAAAGATGAATTAAGAGATCCATGAGAGAGTTTTAGGAATAAATAAAAAAACAATACAATTTTGGCGTCACAACATCCAATATATCATCACAAAGGGGAAATGCTATAGTTAGGGGACGACAATTTGATATTCTGGGGGGGGGGGGGGGGGGAGGAGGATTTTGAAAATAAATAACTCAGCCTTGATAATAACAAAATGAATGGTTTGTTCTGTGGTAGTTTGAAAATAAATAACCTGACTTACAATGTATTGAAAATAACTTGGCAGGTCTTTTAAGTCATTTTATAAATGCTATTCTGAAGTATGAGATCACGGCACCAGATTCTTCCAAAATTCGTCTTTTTTTCATATTTTTTTCGGGAAAAACTTCCCAAATCTTTTAATAATATAAATATTAATGTATGTGAAATGTTTGAAAATGAGTTTCATTTCACTTGAGGTATATTGTCTCGTGAACATTTACCTCACTTTTATTACAAGGCCGTAACTACATTGAGGCAAATGCCTCATGTTGGAAATTTCAAAATAAAAGCTTGTCTTCATATCAAATTGTTTTCATGGCAAGTGTCTTGCAAGAAGCAAGTTCTGTTCACCCTCTGACGTAGCCCCTGTTTTTTGAGATCCATGTTTCTCATTTATTTTTATTTTTCAGTGTTGATTGTCTATAATGTTTCGTTTTGTGTTTTATCTCTTCCCGGGTTCGTCTTTTGTTCATTGATTGCCCTTCTTTATGACTATTCTCTTAGTGTTGCATTCTATTTGTAATTTAGTAATTATGTTTTAAACTTGAGTTTTATTATATTTAAGGACCTTTTGCCTATTACAAACTACTTTAGATTGTATCCCAGTTAGGAACTACATCAAGTTGTAATTGAAATGTGTTATAAAAACTGACTTGACATAGTTATATCAATGATAATCAGCCCCCTCTTAACTTAATTTGAAAAAAAAACATAATTGACAGGTATAAAAGGTTTTCTGCAAACTGAAATTTTTTTGCTTTGTCCTACATATTGGTCTTTTGATGTTGTCCCTAAAAACTAAAAGTCTTACACTGAATCTATATATTTTGCTTTGAGACCAGAATATTGTCAAAAAATTAAAACAGAACTTGCGTTTCAGATTAAGAAAGGGTCTGGGAAACGCGCATAATGCATGATTTTGCGCCATTTTTTCTATAGCTTCTTGGGGCCTTCAGCGAACCACAGACTCTTCGCTGATTTTTTTTTTACACATGTGTATATATGTCTCTGACTTAATTGACTATGTTATTTATTTAAGAATTTAAAAATTGTATGTTTTCAAATATTATAAATATAATTGTGAAAATAAATAATCAGTCCCTTGTTTTAATGAAAATGAAAAATCATGCTTCAACAGTGCAGAAAATCAATAATCTGTCCTTTTGGTCCACAAAAATAAATAACCCATCCAAAACAAATCCTCCTGCCCCCCCCCCCCCCCCAGAATATCAAATTAATGGTCGTCCCCTTATACATGTAGGTCGTCTTGAAAAGGCACCATTTCTTTTTGTCACCTTTGCAAGAATGTTTTACGTGTAAGTTTCACTATCTATTCATATGTAAGTCCATGTAACGATTCAACTATAGTCGAATTTACAAGTAAGTTCCGATGATTCCCGTATATTACAAAAGAAATAAGTATGTCCTGTTCCGCTCAGTATAGAAATATTCCTATGTTTTTAAAATTAATTTAGAAATTTATTGTTGTGTCCATTATTAAGGTGTTTTCCTGCATTCTTCTAACTGTTTTGTTATCTATATTATTTGGGTTTTAGGCGTGTGTATATAGTATGTTTCTCTTTGTCACTAATGCAATATGGTATGTTATGTTTATATAACCACTTGTGTGTTCTGATAGTGTTAAAGGCTTATACATGGTCTTATCTTGTATTTCAGAATCCGGACTGAGAACTACATGTTGTTACTTGAGAACATTTATCCAACCATATATATATATTAGGGATGTCAACTCGGTAAAGAAATACTAATCGAGTACTCGTTGGATTTACCGAGCGATACTCGAGTACTCGCTCGGAAAAACATCAACAAAATGGAAACACAAAATTATACCCATTTTATGTATTGTGGGTCGTTGTTTTATGGACGTAACACCCTTAACATTATTACCTAGGACCAGAAAATAGTTCCAGGAATTTTATACCTTAATTAATAGCTCATTTTCTACTTGTACCAATTAACATGAATAAGTAAACTGGCAATAATCTAATCAATTAATTAATAAACATCTTTAGAAAAAATGATTACTCAAACAACAGTATTTGGGAACCGTAAAAAAACACATTTAGTGATCAACGAAGGAGTGATGATTAGAACTTACTGATGCCTTTAACCATTCTCTGAGGGTCGACACAGGGTGCAACGAATTTGTTCTTATTTAGAAATATTATCTTGTCATCTTTTTCTGGGACGAGGCGATTTATCAACTTTGTAACAGTCCTGCTGATGAAAATATTTGCTCTATGGTACAGAGGTGGGGGAATGACTAAGATTAGCTAAAAGTGTAAGCCTTGGAAAGGTGCTCTTGTTCATAGTATACCTCTGTTCGGAGGGATTTTAGATGACAATTTAACACAAACATTCGAAACGTAGTTTGATTTTGATTAATTTTGATTAATATTTAATTTCCCGGGAGGCGCTCTCAATAAGAATAATTTTTGTTAAAGCTTAAGAAAGCAACAACATTCTAACAGGAAACCGATTAGTCGAGTATCATTTTGGTATTCGATACTCGGTACTACCGAGCGATAATCGAGTACTCGAGTACTCGTTGACATCCCTAATATATATTTAAAGCTTTATAAACGACATATACGATTAATCGTGTAAGGAAACAACTATAAGTATTATCAGTGTTTTTATATGAAATAATTAAAAAGGGGCATAATCAGAAAAACCAGTCGAGAAAACCTTAAAGATATCAAACCATCAACCCTTTATAATGTCGTTCTCCTTGTCCAACAAAAAACAGAATATGGTCTTGACTAACATGAAACAAACACTGAAATGAAGTTTGAAGCCACAAAAAATGATAACACAAGTTGTACTGTTATTTCACTGTCCCAGGTTAAAAGGGGAGGGATTTGCACCAGAAAATATGTTTAATCCCGCCACACTCTGTATGTGTCTATCCCAAGTCAGGAGCCTGTAATTCAGTGGTTGTTGTTTGTTGCTGTATATCATTTGATATTGGTTTTTAGTTTATTGTTTTGTACATAAATCATGATTGGGCCGTTAGTTTTCTAGTTTGAATTGTATTGCATTTGCCATGTCAGGGACTTTCATATCTCTATAAAACTGTATCTGCTTTCAAATACTCTTACAAGTCATTATATTTTTAACAAAGTGTTAAATTTAATAGTTTAACCACAACGTTTACTATATGTGTATTATTTTGTATATGTTTATATATATATAAATACTCTAAATATCAGCACAAGAATGTTAAATCTGCAAATTTGCGGAAGCAAATTTTTGTTCTTCCCTCGCCGGGATTCGAACTCATGCTATTGGGATATCGAGACAACACCACCTGCACCGTGTCCAGCGCTCTAGACCACTCGACTACCTAGACTGAACTATAAATGACCAATAAATGCTTTTTTCTAAATGTTTTTCTTCGTGAAACAGTTCTTTCAATCCATACCCACACTTAAATCAGTAAAAAATTGTTGCATCTCCATATTGCCGAGATTGAGCAATCAAAATCTGAATTAGGCCATAAGAATACACATTATCGCTATTTAGTCCAATCTGGAAAAAAACAGTCACTTAGACAACTTCCTGTTTGGGTCAAGTGTCGAAAAAACAAAGGTCATCAGTAACGAGCTGAGAGAGGAAAAAGTTTAGAGGCGAACATTTTGAAACATTGATAGATTATGATCCATTTTTTTAAAACACAAATTAAAATCATTAAAATGCTTTGTTTGAAGTGTCTACGATGGTTTAAACATGTCTTTTTAAAAAGTTTTATGCATAATACATTGTTTAAACAGGGCCCCAGATAGCTTCAACTGGATGAAACAGTTGTGTAATTTCAGAACTTATCCGAATTGGAATAAATAGCGATAAGGTGTATATTGCAGACAGGAATACGTGAACGTGCTGTTGCTAGACAATATTCACGTCAGAAACTCATCTTACTGTCCTCACAAAGGTACAAGCAGACGGGGATTTGTTGATGACCACCCATGACCAGAGCAATATGTAGTGACAACGCCTCGTCAATAAAATTTGATTACGCAACGTCATTTGCGAGATATGTTTACGGCCGCAACATCAACTGCTAATCAAGTCGTCGAATGCCATGGCAGACAGATTCACACGATAATTAGTCGATAATTGTTTCCTATATATATATATACTGAAATGGCAAAGAATCGACTGCAGAAAAAACATTTTAAGCCCTAAAGTTTAAACCGCATAATTGCCAAAACACACTTTAATGGGTGGGACAGAGGCCAAATCAGAAAGTACAAAACAGAACTCAAAACATGCCCAACAGAATTGGTTGACCTTTCTGGCAATCATTTGAGAGTTGGTTACAGGCAGTCATTGCCTTCAACGGTGACACATCGATCCATTGGTAATGTGAAAACCAGGGTTGTAGTGCATACCACGTGATTTGAACATTGAACATGACGTAATTCAACTTTCGAACTGCAAACTTTTTTTACACAATGAAGTAATGAATGAAATTGATGTTTATATATATATATATATATATATATATATATATACATTTATTTTACAAAAATTGCATATTTGAAAATGATAATTTAAAAGAATAATTTAGTGTTGCGTTTTTAAGGTCCGTCAGTATATCAAAACAAAATAGGGAAACTGCAAGCCGACAGTGAAATTAAATCTTTGACAAACAAGATTTCGATTTCCTCGTTTAACTTTTTAATATACATTTCTACCAAAGGGTTCTAGGGTTATGTTAAGGAAAAGCGACTCTAGTTTAAGTTTGTCGATTTTCACCTCCCGTTTGGAATTTTTAGCTCGGAGCGATCCCGGTGAAGTTTAACATAGAAATTGACATCACAAGTTTATGTCTTTTTTGCTCTAATCTTTATTTTGCTGACCATTATTCGCTTCATATAATTTCACATTCTTGCACTCTTGGCATAAAGAAGAAAACAAATCATTTCTTCGACTCAATATAAGTGCCTTCCCTGTTTGATGCCATACATGCAATTTATATGCTTGCAATATAAGGGAAACCAGTCTATACTATACATACATTGAGCTTTACATATATATATTTACATTGGAAGCCAGCTGGATGTAAAGCTTTAAGCATGATAGAAACTCCTGAAAATTAAATGATAAAATTTATTTCAGCACTACCGACATATTAAGTGTATATGTGGAATTTGAATCCATCTTTTGGTTACACATGCTACAGTTAAGTTTGCGAAAGTAAATGTTGGAGTCCTAGTTTATCTCCTTTTTACGGCCATGCTATTGACCTATAGATGAGGGTCTGGATGGGAGGATCTCCATTTCTGTATTCTGTAATATTTTGGACCATTCTTTGCTACTCTATATATTTAGTTTCCCCCTTATTCTACATTTTATTTATATTTAAACATCCAATATTTCTCTTTTAAATATTTTTTGTCATTTTTTTCTCTGGTCTTGGTTCATTTTCTCAATTTTGTAAACCCCCTTCCAGACCCTCATAGACACTAATTTACCTGCAGACTAATATGATAATTATAGATTATCGGTGGTCATCTCAACGAGATTGATTTTCTCGCTTGAGCCGGTACGGCGAAAGTGAGAAAAGCAATCGAGTTGAGATGACCAATGATAATCTGTTTATCGCTATTTTATATGCGACTGTCATACAAGCGAGAGGTTTAGCTAGCTATAAAACCAGGTTCAATCCACCATTTTCTACATAAGAAAATGCCTGTACCAAGTCAGGAATATGACAGTTATTGTCCATTCGTTTGATGTGTTTGTGCTTTTGATTTTGCCATTTGATTAGGGACTTTCCGTTTTGAATTTTCCTTGGAGTTCAGTATTTTTTGTGATTTAACTTTTTACCTATGACGACGTTGTTAATTTACATTGACAACGGCACGTGCGCTCTTAGTTTCTAGCGATAATTTTTCATATTGTACTGTGCTGAGAAAGGAAATTATTAGTCAGTAAGATCAAAGGAAAATTTCGTAAAATAGCGATAATATAAACTGATATTAGTATATAAGTTCATATGGGACACACTTGCCTGCCATCTTTGAACTTTAAAAATGTATTAACAACATGAAATGCAAATAAAAAAGGACTTTCGAGAATCGCTCAAATACGGGAGAAAATTAGAATGGAAAAAAAGCCCACACTATTACCATTTAAAATGATTTTTCTTTACAACTCCCAAACATTTATGCATCATGATGCAATAATTCTAATGCTGTATTTTATTGTCAAGTCGTATTTCGTTGGTTATCATCGTGTCAATCATAAGGTTTATACGTGTGTAAACTCATTTCATCAGACATCACAAATATGAATCCGACATACTAACAACCTTAACAAAAAGTCCTTGCATACAAAAAAAACTTCTTAAAAATAACCTTTATAACTATTATAAGAATAAACAAGCTGTTTACAACAACATTTTCTTAAAGATCACAAATATAAGTCAGTGTTAAGTCAGGACAATAAGGTTATCCACAACCGTCAGATTAAACGTTTGAACAAGATTGTTTCTAAACTTCGGACGGAACTCTAGGGATAAATTTTGAAAGTTCCACTACTTTTGCATGACATCGTTTAGCATTGTCTCTATCATTCATCAGCTCATACACTCGTCTTAAATATATGTAAGATATGTACCGAAAATACGGGTCTTTGTCGGTTTGATTATTTTCAACCGCATCTTTCAAAGCATGAACACTCTGTTCACAACCGGGCTTATCTCTGATGCCAATGAAACATAAAAATCGCAAATAATGGATTAGGGTTTCTGGTGGACATGTAATGTAGTTCTGTGATGGAACTGTAAAAAGCCAGAGCACTCTATGATCAAGGTATCCCATTACCTCTCTTTGTGGTGACTGTATCTGGACGAAAGACTTCATTGTGCAATGTCTCAATTTTCGGAAGAAATTGCCCCTAAATATCATTTTGTTCTGTTCTCGAATTCTCAGTAATTCATCCATTCGTAGATTTGATCTCCAACCCACCATTATTTTATTTCTGGTACATTTCAAACGGAGAAATTCAAGAACGAGCAATGCCCTGTCATATTGACTATTGATATAAAATAGCAAAGCCATGTATATCCACCCTGTAACTGCATCACAGTTCGTAGACAAGAGAGCATCAACTTGAAGACGCCTTTGATCAATGTAGCTAATCTTGTTTTTGAACGCAAGGTTGTTGTATACCGTTGACCGGGCTCGCTCATACGCACTTTGAATTAAAGTCATCAGATACAGGTTTTTCATTTCTACTGAAGTCAAAGACGTTATATGTTTTATACATTTTATCAAGATCAAAGGACTTGCTGAAATTTCCGGTAAATAGGACGAAAACAAAGGCAGCACTGCTAAATCAAACGACGTCAAACCATTCGATATACATCTGTCCAACTTGAGCTTAACTAAACCCGATAAGGATGCACACTGTAGCAAGCAAGCAATCGCATTGTCACCGATATCATTCAACATGGCAGACAAGATAGTCAACGACTGTTCAGTAGTAGTGCATTTTATCATATTGCAATCCGGAATAAAGTAATTTGGGAAAACCTTGTATTTGAAATAATACGATAGACGATTAATGCATTGGCGAAAACAAAGAGTTAGATTCTCTGGTGTCCATGATTCTGGTCTTATTTCCTCTGAGATCCATAATAATGTAGTCTTAATCAAATACGATGTCAAGACATCATCTCCTCTAGATTTTGGTTTGACATATTCCTTCAGAACTATCTTCAAGCAAGCATAACAAACCATTTGTACATGGTTCCAAGAATGTATTAAATCTTTTTCTGTTAATGCAAATGATATTCTCCATTCGTCAGGATTCGCATCAACTGATTCCGTTTTGTTGCCCATTGGCACAAGCAGTACTCCTCTATTGATTTGGCTATTTATCATATCTTGTGTAAGGATACGGTAGGGTCTTTTACGAGAAGCCCATGGCATGGCAGATTCAGGCCAAGAATTACAGACAATGCTAATTGCTTGGTCAAGTCGAGTGTTCGATATACATGGTCCATTTAGGTCATGAGCATCCATTGTGCATGTGCATGAGTTATATCGCTCGAGTATTTTGGATTTTTGTTCGACTTTGATCCATTCTTTAAACCCTCTGCTTGAAAAAAGGTGCCCATCATAAGTTCTTTTTATCCAAGCGTCTCTCCATTCTGGGTGGTTTTTATCATGTATCCATAGAAAAGCATATCCTGGTGATGCTAAATCAGAATTTATAAATAGAACGGCTTTCTTCGTATCGATGTTTGCCTCTGTCGTACCACATTTGTACGCTATGAATTTCACCATTGTACGCACAACATCTAGATCACTTCCGCTAAGGAAAAGTCACTCGGCTTTACTACCACTGCAAATTTGTGTATGAATTTCAGAAAAAGGAGGAGTATTGAAAACATTGTCAAAAACCTTGAAAAAGAGTCTTCTATATTCAACAATTTTTTCCGAACCAACTATCTCCTCACAAATCAATTTGAAGAGTTCCACGGAACTCAGTTTCATTCTGAAAAGAAAGTGAATAAAAGAAAGAAATAATTTATATTGTGAAAGATTTTTAATTCTACAGTATACGTATCTGTATACGCACTAACAGAATGTACCTAGTAGATATGCTAGCTTACCTAGTAAAGGAAAAATTCTAACTGGTACATTTTCTTATTTACCAACCCAGTAGTCAGACCCTGTGTTGACATGAATTATCATTGATATGGTCATGATTATACATTAACTATTAAAAAAACTTTTAATTGCTCAAAATAGTAAGGATTTTCTACCCCAGGAATAGATTACCTTAGTTGAATTTCGAAAAATCTTTCGGAATTTTGGGTCCTCAATGCTCATTGTACTTCATTTGTCCTTTTTATCTTTTTTTATTCGGTTGTCACTGATGAGTCTTTTATAGTCGAAACGCGCGTCTGGCGTAAACTTGTTTAAACATGGTATCTATGATGAGTTTATGTTTTAGTCTTTGTAGTTACAGTTACTAGTCTTTATGGTAAAAAGTAAAATAAAAAAATGCCGAACTCCAAGGAAAATTCAAAACGGAAAGTCCCTTATCAAATGGCAAAATCAAAAGCTCAAACACATCAAACGAATGGAAACAACTGTCATATTCCTGACTTGGTACAGGCATTTCCTTATGAAGAAAATGGTTGATTAAACCTGGTTTTATAGCTAGCTAACCCTCTCACTTGTATGACAGTCGCATAGAATTCCATTATATAAATACCGAGCCACGCCAAAGGATATTACAAAAAAATGGACTAAACAGTAAAGGTTAAAAATAAAACAAAGACAAATAAAAAGAACACTATAACACGTAATTAAGATGATAAACAACGTCAGTACCTAGAATCTATACTTCAAGACCATCATGTATTATTTGTGAAGTTGATACGGAATATTTATCAACAAGGTCTTGATATCTTCCGATGAAATTTTGCAGAAAAAGGACGAGACTTTCTTTGACATACCCCTGGTTTATCAACTTTCTGCTCAAACACTGGTAACGTTTGATAAAGTCTGAGTAGCAGCTGCAAGTAAGTTTACTTTCTACCATATATATTAAGTTTTACTAGCATGCTAAAATGGCTAGTAATCCCATGGACAGTAAGTTTACTTATTTACCTAGTAAATTCTATTTTACTGACTTTGTACTTGCCGTAAGCAATACAACGTGTTTCGCATGTTGTCTCTAGTTTTCTATCATATATATGTACTTTGTCGTAGACTTGTTTGTCTTTTCGTCGTTTTTCGTTTTGTGCCATGGCATTATAAGATTTAAACACATAAGTCGAAAATAAACTGATTATGCCACTGCATTTTTATCTTCGACTACGAATTTTGATTGTCACCTTAGTATTTTCTGCCTTTTTAAAACGATATCCAGAAGATTGTTCAGCTTATTAACCTTACCTGTTGTCTTCCATGCCGATGATACAAGTAAGAGTTATTTCTATTTTTACACCATACTGGCTGTTACACATCTGTTATGTGTGTTATATTCTCACGTATAACATATGTTAATTTACATATATTTTATGTACTGAACATACTAATTGTATGTTGTCGGTTCATTCAAGAACATTCGGTATACGACAACATGTAGTAATGTTTTGACACAATTTATCGCTACATTGTATTATTGAAATTAGGTTCGTTTGCCTACTTGAGTTAACAGCAATATCGTATCCAACAATGACTAAAGAGTACCGCCGTTTAAATTCAATTCACTGTCAACAATCCAAATGTCTATTGCAGGAATAAGAGAATATCAACAATTTTTATACAACGTTTACAGTCTTAATTCAGAGTTTTAACAAATTCGCCGTTTCTAGTACTACCAAATCAAATCAAATCAAATCAAATATTTTATTATTCCAATCAGGGTCCCAGTAAGGGCATTTACAATTAACAATTATGATAGTATAAGCAACAAACATGAGACATTGTACAGTATATAACGTGACAGATATTATAATAGACAAATGAAAATAGCATTAATAACAAAAATACATTAAAAGTACTCTTGAGTATTTTTTTCCCTTCCTTCCTTATTACCCGGCCGTATTATTTCTATGTCCAGCAGTGTAAAAAAAAAGAAAAAAAAAAGATATTAATAATAAAGTTTGAACAAACTTAAATTATTATCTATAAAGATGGAAATTTGTTCATCTGCAGGAGACACCAAGGGACGGTGCTCTAGGATATACAGTTGATTGCGATAGGCAATAACAGCAATCCTCCCCGTGTCAGAAGCAGATGAACAAAATAAATAGAGAAACTGAATCCGGTCAATTAACAAATAATTATTTATTTCTTTTTAAATAACAACAATTGCTAATTATGCGAAACATGTCATATAAATCTGCTATTTGCAGTGTTTAACCAGGAATATACACAACTCTTTTAATACCGCTAAGTTTTCACAAGACAGCAGCCATAGCAATTTCTCTTGGGAATTTAAGTTAATGAAATTGGGACATGATTCCGAAATAATGTGATATAAATGGTGTCTGTCTTCCTTTTATTTTGTGCAATAAAAGAGAAAATGAACTTCATCTTCAATATTACCAGAGTTACACTGCTGACATAGTCTAAGGTGTGGAGGAGTACCCTGGTATCGTCCTATTTCAATCTGCAAATGGTGAGGTGACACCCTAAATTTTGTTTATGATCTCCTAAGTTCAAAATTGGACATGATATTTAGATGTTTTTCGAAACCATAATTATTCTTAAATTTTACATAAGTGCGGAGCTTCCCTTCTGAATTCTTGGTCAGTTGATCCTTCCAAATTTTTATGCATGTCTCTTTCAATATTTTCCTGATGGTATTTTTGAAATAATTTTCCCATAATTTAGGTTTGCAAACCCAGGAAGAGATTTTAAAATTTGTTGGAGAGAGCCATACCATGACGATTTATGCTGAGAAAATAAAGTTTTTGAATGCTGGTATGCATCTTGAAATAAAGGAAATGAGTCTAAATTTTCTAGTCTAAGCCAATAATTCAAAATAGATTTGACTAAGTCAAAGTACAGTGGAAACCGACCAAGTTCAGATAAGGCTGCAAAATTTGTGTTTTTTTTGTGCACACCCAGAATAAATTTACAAAATTTACTGTGTAGCTTTTCACAAGTTAAATTCGAATAAATTTTATCTAATGTTAACTGGTTTCCAGATCTAAATTTTGCTATAAAGGGATTAAATGAGCTCCAAATTTCACTTCCATAAAGAAGAATAGGCTTAATAGTATGATCAAAAACATGTATACAAGTATTTAAGCTAGGATTTAGAGATAATAAATCTTTTCTAAGTTTAAAATATGCTTTTAAAGCTTTCTTGTATAATTCATTCTGAGCATAGGAGAATATACATGAAGCACTAAAATACACACCTAGATATTTACAATGTTGTACACATTCTATATCATATTCTTTGTATTTAAATTTGAGGCAGATATGTCTGCCTGCTTTGTTGAAAATCACAATTTTTGTTTTATTTGGGTTGAGAGTAAGACACCAATCTTGACAATATTTTCCCATAATATCAAGTTTTGACTGAAGACCAGTAGCTGTAGTAGATAGTAAAATGATATCATCGGCATACATCAGATAATGGATATGTCGCCCATTTATATTTACAGGGTCCAGAGATTTTTCCAAATAGTTGGGAAGGTCATTGATGAAAACCTTAAACAGGTTAGGACTTATATTATCTCCCTGTTTAACTCCAAGCTGTATAGGGAAGAAATCAGTAATGCTGTTCTTAATTCGAATGCACGATTTGCTTACCTCATACATTTGCTTAATGATATTGTAAAATAATGTGCCTACACCAATTTTTAAAAGCTTAATTTTCAATCCGGTGTGAATAACAGTGTCAAAAGCCTTTTGAAAGTCAACAAAGCAGGCATACACCCTACCGTCTTTTGAATTACAATATTCATCTATAATACATTTCAAAATAAATAAATGATCACAAGTTCTAGCCTTTCTTGTAAAACCTATCTGACACTCATGTATGATATTGTGCTTATCCATAAATACATCAAGCCTATTATCTAACACACTGTTGAATAATTTTCCTATGGCACTAGTTACTGCAATACCCCTGTAATTATTTGGATCAGATATATCGTTAGATTTATGTACTGGTGTAATATATCCAAGAGCCCAAGCACAGGGATAATTACCACTTGACAGAAAAGCATTAAATAGCTTATGAATACAAGGAATAAGAGCAGTTTGCCCACATTTAAGCATGTTATTAGATAAATGATCTAGTCCTGGCAACTTGTTATATTTTAGTTTTGATATAGCTTTAGAAATTTCTTCTTGACTGATAAGCATGTCAAGTTCATTAAAGATTTTTTCTTTTTGTAGACTGTCTAGTAATTTATCAAGTTGGCTAAGGCGTTGTTTGAAATTGTCTTTTACTTCATTTAAATTTTTGAAGTGATTTACCCAGGTGGATGGGTCAACGGCAGAACTTTTTTTGTCTCTTTCTCTCATATCTCTCAAGTCATTAACAAGATTCCAATAAAGCTTTGGATTATTCTCATGAAGAGATTCCAACTGGGTCAATATTGACTGCCTATGCTGTCTATATTTAAACTTACGTAGCTTTTTATACTCTCGATAAAGTTTGTAGTAATGGTTTCTCACGAAATTGTGTTTTGGAAATTTGCTATATATACGAGCATATCTGATGAGGTTTTGTCTAGTTTTCCCAAGATCTTTGTCAAACCATTTTTTATTTTTAGGTTTTGAGGGAGAAGTTTTTATAAATTTTGGCTTTTTGAGAGATGAATGTGCAGCTGACAATATAAGATCAGAAAGTTCTGTCGTCGCTTCATCCACTGACACTTGTGTGTCTTTAATACAATTATTGTTAAACTCTAAAAGCTTGTTTTAGTATATCTGATGAACACATTGCAAGCTGGAACTTATAAGAAGAATCATCAGACCAAATAAAATTTGGTTCCATAGGTTGTATACAGACATTATCATCTTTTTGTATAGTGTACCTAGCTGACATTGTCCATTCCAGCTTGCAATGAGTATCTGATAAGGTAGGTATAAAGTCAGCTACCTTAAAATGTAAAACCTGATCCAGGATACCCTCCGACACCATAATATAATCTACCACACTTGCTCCATTAGGAGTATAACATGTATATTGGCCAAACATATCACCAAGGGTGCGAGCATAAAGGATTCGTATTTGTTGACTCACACATAAATCCAATAGTTCTTTGCCTCTTGTATCTATGGTCATATCTGGACTATATTTATTGAGTATTTTTTTATCAGTAGGATAATTATCATAGACTGGCGTGTATCGGTGGTCATCATGTAAAATGAAATCATATTGTACTGATATTCTTGCATTAAAGTCCCCGTAAAGAAGAATGTTTCCTACCCTCTGATATTTACATATATCTGCTTCAATACAATCCAGGATATCTTTATCTAGACCCTTGGTGTATGCTGAGCCACTAGGTGGATAATAAACAATACAAATATATAAATCATTGTCAAAACCAAAAAAATCCATATCAAGTTTAATCCATTGATAGTCAGGATTAGTATTTCTTAATATCTTAACATGAGTTTTTACAGCTGGCTTTCTCAAAATTTCCAAACCGCCAAAATGACGATTATTGTGCTTTGATGTTGGTCTACATACTGGGTGATAATGAAATTGACCAATGTTAAAAATGTTGGCATTATATCCCAGATGTGTTTCAGCTAGAAAAACTATATCATATTTGTTTATTTCTTTTAAAAAGAGTGGGTCTGTTGTCTTATCATTAGTTCTAGATATTAAGCCCCCTGTGTTCCAAAAGCACATTTTGATACATGCACTAGATCTTGAATTGATTGGCATTTTATTGATAAACCTAACAGGTAACACTCAAGAAATAAAAAAATAAATGACTATGTACAGCACAAAAAAAAAAAAGAGTGATAAGAAACGTTTTCCTTATTCTTTTAAATTTAACTGAATCAGTTATAAATCAAATTTAGGTAAGATTGAGCTAAAAAAAAACAACAGGAATTTACCTGTTTTACTTTATGTTAAACTTGGGGATTTATTCCTTGCAAATGAATCTGTGTATAGATAATTGCTTTGTGAACCATTTTTACTTGAAAAAAAAAGTGTATAGCAATTGTAAAACACAATATATGTAATCAAATGACAATTTGATATTTACTATATCAGTAAATCATAAAAATTGACACACAATCTCTTTAAATTATATACATTTTATAGAGAACTGCAAATTGTGCTTTTCAGTTATGCCGTTGACCACGCCCACGTCCTTTGGTCTTCCATGACTATGATTGGCTTCTTGAGCGACGGCTAGGTAAAGGCACATCTAATGCAGCATGTACGGCTCGTTTTATATTGCCGGCTAAGATTGAAATTCCTTTGTCATTAAGATGGTAGCCATCCTTGCGTATAAGATCTTTATTTGGATTACCATAGAGAAGCATATTGCTATGTTCTGCAAAGTAGACATTATCCATACCAGAAAACTTCTGTTTCAACAAAACATTGATTATCTGCCCATTTGTTGAATTATTAATGGTGTCACATCTTGGTGTTGTGAATGAAACAACAATTTTAATAAGTGGCCATTTTGAAAAGATGAGTGATGTTAGATCAAACATTTCATCAACACATGCTGCTGATTTTTTGGTCTTCAGGTAATTAGTTAGCAAATGAAGTGCTAAGACTATAGGTGGAGTTGTAACTGTTGCTAGATATTCAGTGGCTTGCTGCATTGTATATTTTGTTACTTTGTTGACTTCAGCTATATTTGTAAGTTTCGGTGCATTAATTCCCTCAGTGTTAGATGTTCCAACACGTAAGACGGTCAGGTTGGCGTTTGATGGGCTTATTGGGATGTCAGCTTTAAATTGTATTCCAGAATCTATCATTGTTGCGAGTTGCATTTTTAATTCAATTATTTCATCTCTCTAGATATTAAGTTTTGAAGAAAGTTTCTTTGACTGATAGATTGAGGCATTGAATTTCATCATTCTTATCCCTTATTCTGTGTTCATAAGTTTCTTGTGCATAGTTGGAACTGGAGACGGTATTTCTTAACTGTCTCATTTAGCAATCTTTTATTATGAGATAATTCATCCTTCAGATGATGTAGCTTGTTTTCTAATATGGAAATGTTCCCATCTGCTTGAGATTTAATCATGTTACTTGTTGACTTTAAGGTATCTATCTTTGAGTTAAGAGCAGTGATTATTTTATCAGTGTTGTCCATACAACTATTTTCTAACTTCAGAATGGCATTAGAGAAACAGGATCCCATCCTTTCTAAGTCACATTTATCAATTATACATGAACTGTTATTATTTAAATCAGTTAGAGTTGTAGATGGGAGCAATTTTGTGGGTTGATCATGAGATACATGTATGTCCGTAACTGTCTCACCACTACCACAGCTGATGCCATCAGTATCATTGATGTTATGTTGGCTTGCCTTAGTGTTAATAACCTCCTTAACAATAGTATAATCATCCAGTTCATGGGATTGTGACATGATATCCTTGCTATTTATTTCTGTGGGGAGAGTCCCAGAAAATTCCCTAATTATCAACATTAAATTCGGAAAATCTGATTGGATAAAGTCATGATGGTGACTCCCCTGTACCTGTATGAGTCCTGTTTTTATAAAGAATGTTAATTTGTATAGTCTTTCTTCTTTGTTATTTTTCACATCAATGGTAAAAGACTTAAGTGTCGTGGATGAAGAGATGATTTTGGGGTTTTCTACATTGTCACTTTTTTTGCCCAAAAATTCGTAAAAATACAGGTTCAGGGCTTTAATCCACGGTTGTAGTCTTTCGTGAGTTGTGCGGTAAGCCACCATTCGGGCTTCCTTTTCATAAATTGTAGCGTCAATGTGTTCATATAGGCACCTACAAGATTTCTCAGTGCTTTGATCAACAAGTTTTTTGCGGGAGACAATCCGCGGAGTAATGTTTCTCTATGATGTCATTTTGGAGAATTACCTTGATTTTTGGGTCACACAGGTTAAGTGCCATTGTTATTTGTATTAATTGTCTCAAAAGAACTCAGTTATATACTTCACTCCGGCCTGTGGTTCTAGGAAAAGCACAATTTTCTTTCCTCTAATTTTTTGCGTGTGCGTCCATACCGGAAGTCACGTGATATAAAATTCTAGAATATTAAAATGATAAAACTAAATCTGTTGAACAAAAACAACATATTCCCCTCCAAGTCCAAGTCATAAAGAACCGTAAAATAGCAACTGGAACAAAAATCATGGTATGAAAAAGAGATACGTACAATTTCAAATGGACATCCAAAATCACAAGTAAAAAAAGAACTAAAAATGCCAACTACAAAAGACAAACAACAGTATACGTAACGTAACATAGAAAAGTACGAATGAGCAACAGGAACCCTTCCAATAACCTGGGGTGTTCTCAGGTGCTCTAACATAGAAAAGTACGAAGAGCAACAGGAACCCTTCCAATAACCTGGGGTGTTCTCAGGTGCTCTAACATAGAAAAGTACGAAGAGCAACAGGAACCCTTCCAATAACCTGGGGTGTTCTCAGGTGCTCTAACATAGAAAAGTACGAAGAGCAACAGGAACCCTTCCAATAACCTGGGGTGTTCTCAGGTGCTCTAACATAGAAAAGTACGAATGAGCAACAGGAACCCTTCCAATAACCTGGGGTGTTGTCAGGTGCTCTAACATAGAAAAGTACGAATGAGCAACAGGAACCCTTCCAATAACCTGGGGTGTTCTCAGGTGCTCTAACATAGAAAAGTACAAATGAGTAACAGGAACCCTTCCAATAACCTGGGGTGTTGTCAGGTGCTCTAAAATAGAAAAGTACGAATGAGCAACAGGAACCCTTCCAATAACCTGGGGTGTTCTCAGGTGCTCTAACATAGAAAAGTACGAATGAGCAACAGGAACCCTTCCAATAACCTGGGGTATTCTCAGGTGCTCTAACATAGAAAAGTACGAATGAGCAACAGGAACCCTTCCAATAACCTGGGGTGTTCTCAGGTGCTCTAACATAGAAAAGTACGAATGAGCAACAGGAACCCTTCCAATAACCTGGGGTGTTCTCAGGTGCTCTAACATAGAAAAGTACGAATGAGCAACAGGAACCCTTCCAATAACCTGGGGTGTTCTCAGGTGCTCTAACATAGAAAAGTACGAATGAGCAACAGGAACCCTGTCAATAACCTGGGGTGTACTCAGGTGCTCTAACATAGAAAAGTACGAATGAGCAACAGGAACCCTTCCAATAACCTGGGGTGTTCTCAGGTGCTCTAACATAGAAAAGTACGAATGAGCAACAGGAACCCTTCCAATAACCTGGGGTGTTCTCAGGTGCTCTAACATAGAAAAGTACGAATGAGCAACAGGAACCCTTCCAATAACCTGGGGTGTTGTCAGGTGCTCCGGAGGTATAACTAGATCATGTTTCACATGTGACACCCGTCGTGTTGCTCATGTAAGTACAAACCCCGGTGATAAGTCTAATTCGGTAGGTTACATTTGAGGAAAAGAAGGGAGTGTGGCTACGAAAACTTGAACGTATGAAGTGATTCTGTCATGTTGCGTTCCAGTTCAATGAAAATAATGTAAAAACTGTAGATGAAATTTGTTGACAAACTTTCCCATATGAAAAAAGTCAAAATTTGGAAATGAGAAACAACTGAGATTAATCTTATTTAAGATAAACACGAGGTGTACAACTGCATGCATCTGGTAAGAATTAATTCTGTAAAGTATCGATCCAATCTTTTTACTGGAAGGGCTATTACTTTTACAAACCTTTCCAGACGTAGAAAGCATATGAAAACTCCAATCTGATTAAACACTATACTGATGTATAACATCTAAACCTCTCAAAATTTTGGGTAATCAGTGCTTTTCAACTTCGTACTTTATTTGGCCCTTTTAACTATTCTGATTTGAACGTAACTGATGAGTCTTTTGTAGACGAAACACACGTCTGGCGTACACAATTTTAATCTTGGTATCTATGATGAGTTTATATCTAATGGTATACGGAGTAATTCTGTCAAATTTTGTTCCAGTCTTATGTAATAACATGTAAAATGTAGGAGAATTCACGATTGAAAACATGCCAATTTTAGAAATAGCATATTTTGCAAATGGATACACCGATAATCAGTCTGATTATAAATATATATGAAGTTTAACAAAATGAGTTCTGACAGCTTTAGCTCCATTTAATATAATAACTGATTGTAGCAATAGTCAATGATTCGATATGACATGATTATAACATACTTATATGAAATTCCCCGTTGATAAATTAAGAAAGTAAAGTCCCATCTCCTTAGGCAATGTTGAAGATGCAAACATGATAGTACGCCATAGTCCATTATGTTCGAAGACTATTTTAACGTTGTGCAGATGCTTAGAGAAAGACCCTAAGATGCTTTCCATGGGACACGGGAAAAACTTCTTTAAATTGTGTATGATTTAGAAGCAGGGTCTGTCAAATTCCTCTGCATAACTGTTATTATAACAAAGAATGTGTATAATGTATAAATACACGATACATTTTTTGCAATACACACAAAATGTCGAGACAACAATGAAAAATCAAATTATATTTTAATCATTCTAGTTTCGTTGTTTTCCTGAAAAGCATGATACTGCCTACATTAAATCTGAAGGATACATAGTGTCAGATATGATGTAGAGAAATGCATGCAGTGCAACGATGTTATTGTAATTTTATCACTTCCCTTCCATGAAACAATTTGATTATTATTCTTTGAAATAACATTAAACCCTTTTTTACCAATATATAAATGTGTTGTAAATACTGAATTCATGTGTAAAGTTTAAACATTTTCTTTATTTCAAGTCAATTTTCATTAAAAGCAGATCTAAACTTACTTCTCGTATGACAAATAGAGCATTGAAAATTTAAGAAACAACCTAAATGATATTTATAAACACATTTACTGTTTAGTCATATTCTTGGAATTCTATTCAATGTTATGGAGGAGTGCTGAATAAAAGGATCAAATAAACGATTGTTGATAGTGGCCATTTTTATTTTGAAAGCAGCTACAAGCACACCTTGATGTAGGTAAGGCCATACAATTCTTTCGGAAACTTATTTCTCTAGGAACTATTTACTTTCTTACATGTAATTTTCTCATAAATGTATTGTCATTACAGTATTATTAGGTCTTTCCACTTTTCCGTGGAAAGACCTTTTGCTTTTGTTATGATTATTTGTTTTTCTTTTTTTTTCTTCCGCCTAATTTTTTTCTTGCGCTGTATTGATGTTTCAAAAGATGTCGCTTAAATATTTTGTATATGATATTGTACAGTTTATACGCTTTTGAAGCTGACCCTGTTTAATCTAACACTTTTCTTTGTAAGTGTTATATCCCCAAACACTGTTTTTCTTGTTATGAGATCTCCTTCGCAACCGTAAAAGAAAGCGACAAATTTATTTTTCTAAATTGCTCATTATATCCTCAGAATGTTACGTTTTGTTTTGATCAAAGTCTTACGAAGACTCTATATGAGAGTTATTCCCCTTTATGTATTTGGAATAAGTGATTTTTTTTTTAACTTGTTAACCATAAGTGATAGAGACCTAGGGTGTTTTGATTTGAGGTCCTTGGTCCACTAAAAGAAAAATTATGTCAAGGTCTAAGGTCAAGGTCATGTTCTAAGTTTTGATTTTGACTTGTTATTACTTATTATCAGAAGCCGTATAAGATATCGACAAAATATTTTTACTAAATTGTTATTTGCGACATATCGTTACACATACATTTTGGTTGAACGGGTACGTTGACATAAAATGGGAGTTTCTTCCCCTGTCATATTTAAAACTAGCTGTATGGTAATATAACTCATTCACCATATATAGTGCAGACCTAGGGTCTTTTGATTTAAGGTCCTTAATTTATGACCTTGAAATTTAGGTCAAGTTCATAGGTAAATTTAAAGTTACAAATTTTGACCTTTGCTTTAACTTTATATTTGTAAATGATAGAGCCATAGGACTTCTTGCATAAGTTGCAAGCCATATGACCTTGAAAAGGCCAACCAGAAGTGACCTAGTGTGAACCGGAAGTAGCTATTTTTTGTACTTATTTAATGTAAAAGTATATAGAACCATATATTTTGGGAATCAGTGTCAAGTAAACTATCATATTATACCGGAAGTGACATATTTCAAACCGGAATTAACAAATTATCTCCCTTATTTCAAACAGAAGTGTATTGAAACCATATATTTTTGGAATCAGCGCACAGTTAGCTATCATCTGACACTGAAAATGACATTTTTAACTCGATTTTTATATTTTCTTATCAAATTACATGTTTTTTTTTAGCGGAAAGACCTTCAATTGTTCTCTGAACAATTGGGTTTTAATTATATCGTATATGTGTGTATGAATGGTGTACCTAGGGATAATAAAGCTTTAGATATTGAACCACGAATCTAAAACCTTAATTGAAAAGTGAATTTCAAATATCTTAAATAAGCTCCACGTGTTTACATTTAAGTTTCCGTATGACATACAGCCATTGACTTTTGTTAGGCAAGTACAAAAACGAAGTTTTCAATTTTTACGAAAAATCAAAACATTGGTTTGTTGTTTTTTTTTTTTTTTTAACATTTCTTGCTTTAGTATTTATGCGTAACTGTCTAGAAAGGATTGAATTATAATTTGTCACATTTTTTTTTCAAATAATGTTTTTGATGGTATCCAGCTATGCTCAAAGAATTTTCGTATGGTTCTTGATCACATGCTCATCTTTCGAACTATTGAGCGCACGAAATTGTTTGCCGAATATTGTGTAAAACATTTCTATAATCTCTAATTAACAAGAAAATTTTGTTTGCTGTTATGGGAACACCTTTTTCACAGTCACAACCTCGAGGTTTAAAAATAGGAATTATACACTTTCCAACATTCTGAAAACATCAACTTAAGTCAGTTATCCAAATTGTAAAGATATAAAGAAAATGCTTGAAATATTAGTAATATATTGTGAAGTGCAGTATCTTGTTTCCGCTAGTATATCATACTTAAGAAAAAGGGACGACTTAGAATTACTCGTTAAATCGTGCAACACCTAAGGGAACAGTGATCAACTGTATGTGTATTAGGTGGTAATGTTATGTTTTTTTAGTCCTTTTTGTGTCGTAGGCAGATCATTGAGAATATTTGACCAATAATAAAGGACGAAGTCCTCATAACATTAGGAAAATCAATAAAAAGAAAAAAAAAAAATTTATAATGAACTCAAAATCGGTAACTTGTTTTGGCAGCAGTTGCACTTGCGCATCAACGCGGTTAACGAAGGTTGTCATGTTGTAAAGCAAACAGTTTCCAAGAAATGAGTATATATCTGTTACAAAAAAATCACGAAAATTGTACGGTCCTCTTTGTAATTATCACCTGCCTCGTATTAGATATTTCATAATACTTCATCCATTCCGGAATAATTGAACTCTTTTTAGATGACTAATTACATATTTGACTAATCGTTATTTTCTTCGATCTTCCTTTTTTTTTTTAAGAATCCTAACTATTTCAACTGTTATTTTATTTTCAAATCGACAGCCAAATTGTAAAAAATAAAAACAACACTTGATAAATTTCATGCGTGCGAAGCGCTTTTCTGGAATTACCTTCATCAATAACGCTCAAAGCCGATTATTGAAAGCGAAGTATGTTTAATAAACGAAACAGTTAAAGAGCTGTATGTCTGAAAAAGGAAATATGTAATCTAATAATATTTTATTGCAATAATCAAGCAAAAAGTAAAATCACAAAAATACTGAACTCCGAGGAAAATTCAAAAAGGAAAGTCCCTAATCAAATGGCAAAACCAAAAGCTCAAACACATCAAACGAATGGATAACAACTGTCATATTCCTGACTTGGTACAGGCATTTTCTTATGTAGAAAATGGTGGATTGAACCTGGTTTTAAAGCTAGCTAAACCTCTCACTTGTATGACAGTCGCATCAAATTCCATTATATTGACAACGATGTGTGAACAAAACAAACAAAAACAATAGGTACAAATGTCACAAATAGGGGTAAATAGTCTAATTCGGTAGGTCACATTCGTGAAAAGGGAACGGGACTGTAGTTACGACATAAGGAACATATTCGATATCATCTGTGAAACGGATATTCCATAACGGTCAACCAAGTCGTGATGGCGTCCGTAAATTTATAAAGTGATGATTTCAACTTCACCATTTAGAACTCTTGGTTTAAAAATGAAAATTCACATTTGGGAAGCTGAAATCATCTCTTTTGTCGTAAAGTTTTGTTTTCAACCGACCCTCATAGTCAATTTCTAGATATAAGTCATAATCAAATGGCAAAATCAAAAGCTCAAACACATCAAACGAATGGATAACAACTGTCAAATTCCTGACTTGGTACAGGCATTTTCTTATGTAGAAAATGGTGGATTAAACCTGGTTTTAAAGCTAGCTAAACCTCTCACTTGTATGACAGTCGCATCAAATTCCATTATATTGACAACGATGTGTGAACAAAACAAACAAAAACAATAGGTAAAAATGTCACAAATAGGGGTAAATAGTCTAATTCGGTAGGTCACATTCGTGAAAAGGGACGGGACTGTAGTTACGACATAAGGAACATATCCGATATCATCTGTGAAAAGGATATTACAAAACGGTCAACCAACTCGTGATGGCGTCCGTAAAATTTATAAAGTGATGATTTCAACTTCACCATTTGGAACTCTTGGTTTAAAAATAAAAATTCACAATTGGGAAGCTGAAATCATCTCTTTTGTCGTAAAGTTTTGTTTTCAACCGACCCTCATAGTCAATTTCTAGATATAAGTCATAATCAAATGGCAAAATCAAAAGCTCAAACACATCAAACGAATGGATAACAACTGTCATATTCCTGACTTGGTACAGGCATTTTCTTATGTAGAAAATGGTGGATTGAACCTGGTTTTATACCTAGCTAAACCTCTCATTTGTATGATAGTCGCATCAAATTCCAATAGGGTTTGACACAAGTTCTAACAACTTGTATTAAGCCCTCTCCTTACATATACAATACACATATAGACTGACAGCAAACACATAAATAATAAAGCTTGGGTTATAGAAAAAAAAATGAAGAAATGACACATTGGCATGACAAAAGAAAGGAAAGCTAAAAATAAACAAAAAAGATAAAACTGCTGACTTGGAATTATTCAAATCTTTTTGAATGTTTAATGAAACAACGAATCTTATAAAAAAAAATTAAGAGTTAGTTTCGTAATTAAAGGCATCTTTCCAAACAATAGCGTTTCAATACCAATGCGTATGACTATCAACAAGAGATTGGTTGTAATATAGTCGTCATTTTAGAAAGTAATGGACGGCATCTTCAATTGATTGGAGAACCGAAAGAGCATTTAATATCATTCACTATATGTATCTTATTTAGGTCAGCATTTAGGGAACTGCATTGATGCCTTAGCTTTGTATGCAGTATACTGAATTTTCTGGATCCTTCACCATCATATTTTGAAGGTCTGAATTGTTCCCTCTTTTTCCCGTATAAATTGTGGGATAGTCCATATGTTTCTCGTAGTTTGGATTAAAATTATTTCATTATCTGACAGAATTTGAAAATTTAGAACTGTCCAAAAGATCTTCATCTTTCTGAACGTAAGAATTAGTATAAGAAAGCAATACGGATTTTTGTTTATCAAAACCAAAAAACATAGGACTAAATGCGGTTTATTCCAATTTATGAATATCCTTTAAAAATTCAAATTTAGAAATCTAAAGGAGTTAGTGAATCAGAAGAGAGAGAGAGAGAGAGGGAAGATTAACACAATAATTTGGTCAGCTTCAACAATGACAACTCACATGTTGAGCATGAAAACAACTTCATTGAAAATCAAAAATCAAATGAAACTGCTATGATGTTTTCAATCACATAAAACATATTTTAGTTTGTATTTTTTTGGACTTGATTTACAAATTTATTTTAAAAGAAAAGGGGAAAACTCTATACCGGTTAACAATACAATAACATCAGTAACTAAAGTCAACAAATAATAAAATAAGCACAGTTATTCTGGAATAAACTTTATAATAAAAATTTGAGAGTCAATAACATAAAACGTTGATGAAAATAGGTGTGTAATATTCCTTTTTAGAATAAAAAATTAAAACTAAGTTTAAAAGATAAAAACATACAAACAAATGAAAAACATCAATTTATTTCTACTACTTCAAAATCTTCTTTGTTTGTTAAAATTATGAATAAACATGAAATAAAAATTCAGAAGGAAGTGCTTACAAAGCAATATCAATACAGGGAACGAATCCCCTGTCAGTGTTTGGTCATAGAAACAAATTTCAAGATGTAGAATAGCAATAATACTTTTTTATGGATATGTATTTTTTTCCCAATATTTAACCTTATAATTGAACCAATTGAACATAATATTTTCCATCTCCATCAGTTGGCTTCCATCTTTTTAATTAGAAACTAGTGTTTTAGCATTGCAAAAGTTTTCTACGTGTCATACGAATAAATCGAGATATAGGATATATATAAAAACCGATAATCAAAATACATCTAGGCCTAAAAAACTGTGATAACCGGAAAACAAATGAAATCGATTCTACGTGAGTTATACGATCACTTTCACGAATCAGTTGACCGATAAGATGTGTATGCGTCTCAACTCACTAGCGATTTTAAATCTACAGATAACAGAAAAGTCGTCGGAAATGTAAATTTACCGATTGTTTCCTATTTCCGATTTAGACTGAGTGTTGATTTACATGGCGATTGATACATACATGTCAAGAGACGCTTACCCTGTCGAGGCTTTTGGAGTTCTTACGATTTCATCAGTTTTTGTTTGTTACCTTGATTTGTATCTTCTTTTTCGATTTATGAGATTTGAAAATCAGTAACTACTTTGCCTGAATTTAAGTTCTTGTTGGCAATATTCGTGTTGAAAATTTAAGATTAAAACAGTTTTTCTCTACTCTAAACAATTTATTCAATGACTAAACATGTTCAGTTACCGAACTTCACACCTTTTTAAAATTTCAAAAGGTCCATTGTTTTTTACGAATTCCGATGAAATTTTAAAAACAGATAACATTTAAATACTTGTATTTGGCTGTAACCCATAAAAAGATACCCTCCGAAAGATCACAACAACACGCAAATAAAACAAGTGAAGAAAATTTTATCTGAAGAATTATGTATCTGTTAACCCTTGTTTCACGAAAAAAAAAACAAACATTAAAAAACAAAAGAAATTATGAAGGCTACTTGTTCAGTATTGTTGACAAATAAACCAAGATTGTCTTCTAGACTAAAAAAAATTTTATGTATTAGTCAGAGGGGCGTGAAATCGAAATTATATGCTGAAGGAAGGGGATGAAATATTTGGTCTGGATAATTGGAATGTTTATTAAAACTCATTTTGATATTATGTGTACAAAGATATTTATAGTTGACCAAGCATTGATAGACTGATATTTCAAACTGAATTATTAAATAATTGCTTGTACTTTCAGAATGAAGCTTACTTCTGAAGAATTGTACAAACTGATGTGTGCAGAGATAGTTGGTTCAGAAAAAGTTGTTGAATATAGAAGACTTTTTTTCAAAATACATGACGAAGTATTTAATACTCCTCCATTTTCTGAAATTCACACACAGATTTGTAGTGGCAGTAAAGCAGAGGGACTTTTCATGAATGGAAGCGACCTAGATGTTGTGCGGACTATGTCTAAGTTCATGGCGTATAAATTGGCTACGAGTGTGGTAAACATCGATAAGAGAAAGGCAGTTCTATTTATGGATTATGAGATGTCATCACCAGGATATGCAAGACTGTGGATACATGATAAAAACCACCCACAATGGAGAGATCCTTGGATAAAAATTGCCAATGATGGACTCTTATTTTCAAGTAGCCAGTTTAGAGAATGGATGAAAGGCGAACAAAGGTCCGTAATACTGCAGCGGTATAACTCTTGCATGTGTACGATGGGCGCCCACGACCTTACAGGACCATGTATTTCAAGCAATCGACTTGACCAAGCATTCAGCATAGTTTGTCAATCCTGGCCTGAATCTGCAATGCCTTGGTTTTCCCGTAAAAGATCATACCATTGCTACACAGACCATATGATAACCAGGCAAATGGAAAGAGGAATACTACTTGTTCCAGTAGGAAACAAAACAGATTCCGTCGACGTGCATCCTGACGAATGGAGAATATCTTTTACTATGACAGAGAAAGATCTGATACATTCGTGGAACCATGTACAAATGGTTTGCTATGCTTGTTTGAAAATGATGTTGAAGGAGTTTATCAGGCTAAAATCAAAAGATGACATCATGACATCATATTTAGTTAAAACTACATTATTATGGATATCAGAGGAGATGAATCCTATCGTATGGTCCCCAGAAAATCTGTATAAGTGTTTTCTGCAATGTATTAAACGGCTCTCGTATTATATCAAATTCAGGTTTTTTCCTAACTATTTTATACCAAATTGCAATATGATTAAGTGCACTGCTACTGAACAGTCACTAACTAATCTGTCAAACCTACTGGTTGATATCAGTATCAATGGACTTCAGTATTTATTACAATGTGCTTCATTATCAGGTTCCCTTAAGCTTAAGCTAGACAGTGGTATTCCTATTGGGTTAACATCGTTTGATTTTGCATTACTGCCTTTGCTTTCATCCTATTTACCTGAGCCACAGTATATGAATCGTGAAATCACGGAAAAATGTATTAGAGAAATAATGTATTCGACTTCAACGAGAGAGAAAAATCTTTACCTCTTGTTTTTAGTTCGAAGTATATATGAGCGAGCACGGTCAACACTGTACACCTCTTTTGTAGTAAATAACAAACTTAGTTATTTAGAACAGAGGCGTCGTCAATTTGAAGCCATCTGGACTACAAATGCGGACGCAGTTACAGGCTGGATATGCCTAGCTTTAGTTTTTTATATCAATAGGCAATATAGAAAAGCATTGACTGTTCTTGAATTTCTCCCTTTGAAGTGTACCAGAAATAAAATAATGATTTGGTGGAGAACACATCTCCAGATGGTGGATTTCAGAAATCATATGCAGACGAAAGTGGTGTTCAGGGGCAATTTTTTTCGAAAATTGAGACATTGCACAATGACGTCTTTTATCCAGATCAAATCGCCAGAAAAAGAGGTCACCAAATATCTTGACAACAGAATAAGCTGGCTTTTCACAGTTCCATCACAACAGTACATAACATGTCCACCAGAAACTCTAATCCATTTTTTAAGGGTTTTGTGTTTTGTCGGAACGAAAGAAAATTCCGGTCGCAGTAAGGCAGTGTTAGATTTAAAAGATGCTGTAGAAAATAATCGAACAGTCAAGGATCCGTATTTCCGATACATATCTTACAAGTATTTAAGAGCAGCATATGAACTGGCAAATGACATTCCAAGCGCTATGAGATGCCATGAAATGGTCGGGAAGCTTAAAGAGTTTACTGCCAAACACCCGTCTGAAGTTTAATACAAATCTTACAGAAACAAGCTAAAGGCTAACTTCCTGATTCATTGTGTGTTCTGAACATTTGATAAGTTCAACTTGTTCGCAAGATAATATTTTCCATTTTATGAACTTTGAAAACATGAATCATTTATTCTAATTTATCTCTTCAACATGATCAACTACTGCATGCGAAAGTGTTTACTGGACACGCAGTGCTTCAAAATTTCAATGGTTTACTAATGAGCAGGGATTTAAAAATAGATTGTCATTGCATTCAACTTTTGTTTCTCTCACACGGGCAAATATCTGATAGTCGATTAATTTTGGAATTTGAATTTTGGAGTTAAAATAATACATTTAAAACATTTCCAAAATTTTAATGAATTGCCATAAAATCAAAAACGTATTCAAGAAAATATATTAATACTTTGCATATTTTGCATAAAAAATGTATTAAAAATAGGAATTTAGTGCGTCCAACGCGCTTTTCTGAGAAACCTTCATCAAAACATTGCAAGAAAAAGATGTATAAATACTTGTGAAGTAATATAACCAAATTTGAACTAAAAATAAAGTACATGAAATGATATGCAAGGTAACTCGTTATCAAAATAAATATACCTATTATTTTTATGGACAAAATATTTGTCATGTTTGTGGCTGTGTTTTTATACAGACGGTCGGCTTGTTATGGATATCTGAACCAAAGTTATTTTAAAGTTAATATCTAAATGCATTTCAAAGGCCTTTCTTCTTTACTTTATTTAAATTTGATCTTTATCAACAGTACATCAGTTCTACAAATCCTTTTGTTGACTATGTACATTTATAGTTTGAAAACGTCAATGTCGTTTAAACTAGCGGTCTATTAAAGTGTAAATCACCTCTCTTTGGTAATACATATCCAATAGAGTATAATAGATTGTTTTAAAGGTGCATTAGCTGTCAAATTCATGTTCACCGATTAGACTCGAATTCTCATATTTGATTTATAACATACTAATACGTATATCCAAATTACAAAAAAAAATATTCTAATACACCGTGTAGAACGCCACATATGGGGTGTCGGCTATGTTTGACACGGGGTGGCGGTTTTGAAGCGGAGATAAAGCGATCAAGGTAAGTAAAAGTATCAAAATTTCTTTTTTGAGAATTGTTAGCACTAAATAATGTACTGCACGGAAGGAACCGAACCATAATCTATTTCCATCAAGCGAAAGCAGACGTTTCCAGTGCTCCGTTTTCTCAAACACCTCTCCCTAGTTTTCTGTGTTGCAGATTTTGAGATTTCTTATGCAAGTTTTAGGATAAAAATTATAGGCAAATCTATTCTTGTTTTAATCAATGGCTCAACCCCTTGAGATGCAAATTCTGACACCCCGCCGCACGATGCATTACTTTCGATGAAAAAGTAACTTTAAAACTAATAAATTTTTTACTAAGAAGCTGGTATTTGGTTAAATTCTATGATAGGAATTAATTTCTGTATAAATCATACGGGAAAAATCGCCAAAAGTAGTTTTTTTATCCTGAATACAGATTCAATGAGGTCGAATTATTCACTTGCAAGTGAATACTTCATCAGCGATGTTTCTTAGCCTATTTGGACAAAATTGAACAAAATTGGCTGCTAAAACTACTGTTTCATAGGGTCAACACCAGAGTTCTCTTGGGATGTAAGTATAAATTCTGATACACAACGAATCTGTACACATTCAATGGGGAATGTGTTTTACATATAGACAGACAAATGACAAAGCATGAAATGAGCATCAACTGATCCCTGACCCCTGAAATGTAAAAATAGAAAATTCTGTAATCTTTACAAATAAAAATGAGGAGATGTGGTATGATTACCAATGAGACAACTATCCACTAGAGTTGAAACAAAGTGGTAGTAAGCAATTATAGGCCACCGTTCGGCCTTCAACAATGAGATACCGTTTAGTTGGCTAAAAAAGGCACCGATATGAACAATGTGAATCAATTCAAACGAGAAAACTAACGGCCAAACTTATAACAAAACAATTTACGAATGACAGACATGAACCAACGACAACCTCTGTACTACAGGAACGAGTTTCACAAAAAATCTTACGACTAAAATTGATCGTAAGTCTAGTATACTTACGATCACCTTTAGTCGTAAGATATTTGGTGAAACTCGTTCCTGGCTCCTGAGTTGGGACAGACCAATGTAGAATGTGGCGGGGTTAAATATGTATGTGAGTGCTCAACCCTCCTCTAACCTGGGGCAGTGGTTTAACAGAACTACATAAGAACAAACTGTAAAAATCAGTTGCAATTACCTTAACTGAAAAATCGGTGCGAGACACAAAAACAACTGACATAAAAACAATAGACACAAAGCCCCGAAATAAGAGAACTCGCAGTTACTGAATGCTAGTTCAAACACCAATTACAACTAATAAATAAATCATGTTATCCCATACTAAAGTAGTGTAAAAAGGCCGATTCTGCGGCACTTTCCATTTTTAAGGGGAAATTTGGCATAAATCCAACTTTAGATTTTTTACAATGTAAATGGACTAGCATTTTAATTAGTCTAAGGGTAAATACAAATATGACTTTTGCAAATAATGGTAGAAACACCTTAAAGGGATGTAATCCTAGGGTAGAAACAAAATATGGCTTTTGCAAACAATAGTAGAAACACCTTAAAGGACTGTGTTGCTACAAGTAAGATGGATGAAATTGAAATAAATAAAGAGATGGCATCCAATAGTGTTGATATAAATATGGATCAGTTCAAAGAAAATGAAGAACTCAAAACTTGTGGTGCTCCACTAAAAAGAAAGAAGGGGCAGTTTTGTAAGAGTAAACCAGGGAAAGATTGGCTTTGCTGGAGACACAGTAAAGAACCATGCCAGCAGGAGGATAATCCAGTTGTAGGGAATATTGTGGTGAAGAAAACCACCATAAAAGAACTTCGAAAAATCGCAAAGAAGGAGGATCTTAAGGGATATAGTAGGAAACCCAAGGGGGAATTGGTTAAGTTAATTGAGACCAATACTGCCCACAAATTTACTCGCGAAGAGGTTTTTACCAAAAAGGAACTGAAGACCATTGCCAAAAAACGGGGAATTACCAACTATTCCCGACTAGGGAGAGCTGACCTGACCGAACTGGTGAAGAAGAACATTGAAAATGCCCCCGTTGAAGAGGAAATCAAAATTGTTAACCGACGCGATGCATTGAAAGGTGTATTTGGCACAATCACCATTGAACCCTTGAAACAGCATGATATGCTAACGTTTTTTAATGTAAGTCAAAGCACTATCGCCAGCACAATTTCAGATGCACTCACCAAAAAGAAGGCCCTAAAAGTGCAATTAGTACTACAGGTGGAGATGGTAAAAACAAACCCAGCGACCGGAGAAAATATCTACGTCATTCCCCACTTTAGATCAACCCTTACCACCATCACCGAATCCACAGACCTTGAGTTGGAAATAGCATTTATGGTCGACAAGGTCAAAGAAAATATGGCTAAATACATGCGTGAAGGTAGTGGGTGGACATTTGGTCATATTGAAAAGCTAGAAATCCACTTAAACAAGTTTAAACCTCTCAAGGGCAGTTCCTACATAGCATTGCCAAAACCGCTCGCTCAAAAGAAAGCTATCATCAATGTGCAGAATACTGATCAGGAATGCTTACGCTGGGCCATTCTTTCAGGCCTACATCATGAGGAAGTTGACAAAAACTGTACCAAATGGGTGGGTCAGTACAAAAAGTGGGCTGATGAGTTCAATTTTGATGGCATTGAGTTTCCAGTCTCGCTAAAGGCCATTGACAAATTTGAGAGGCAGAACACCGACCTAAACATTAACGTCTATGGCTTTGACGGTGTAAAGAAGGGTGAAGATGAAGAAGAGGACCTCCAAATATATCCCCTCAGAATATCTAAGAATACAGGTTCGAGACATGTGGATCTTTTGTTCCTGACAAATGAAAGCAAGCAGCACTATTGCTGGATTAAGAGCCTATCTCGACTTTTGAGCTGTCAAATCTCAGAGCATGGTCATGAACTGTTCTTTTGCCGCAGGTGTTTGTCTCACTTCTCAAGACAGGATCTCCTGGATGAGCATATGGAGTATTGCAGTCAGAAGGATGCAGTAAGGATCGAGATGCCACAGGAAGGAACCCACATAGCCTTCCATAACCACAAAAAGTTGATGAGGGTTCCATTCGTCATTTATGCGGATTTCGAGTGTTTTACGGAGAAGGTCGACACTTGCCAGCCAGATCCATCACAGGCCTACACAAAGGCATATCAACAACATCGACCATCAGGTTTTTGCTATAGGGTGAAATATGCTCACGGTGATTACAAAGACTCAGTCATCTACTATGGAGAGGATGCAGCTAAAAAGTTTGTACAGTGCATGGAGCAGGAAGTTAGGGAGATTGCTAAGCTTTACAAGGAAAACAAACCTATAGAGATGACCGACGCTGATAAGGAGATTTTTGAAGCAACCACAAACTGTCACATTTGCGGTGGTGAATTAGCTGGTGACAAGGTTCGCGACCACGATCACCTCAGAGGTAAGTATGGCGGCGCAGCACACAACCAGTGCAACTTGGACTTCCAACTTCCAAGACATGTACCCATTGTTTTCCACAACTTGAGTGGATACGACGCCCATCTTTTTGTGAGCGAATTAGAAGTTGGAGAAGGTAAGATAAACTGCATCCTTAACACCGATGAGAAATACATCAGCTTCTCGAAAGAAGTAGATGGAGCATTGGAGATGAGATTTATAGATTCATACAGGTTTCTACCGAACTCCCTGGAAACCTTGGCAGGGAATCTTACAAAGGAACAATTCGGGGCAATAAAGAAGTGCTTTGGCGATCGATATGAACTGATGATCAGGAAGGGAGTATATCCCTATGATTACATGGATCGACCTGCCAAGCTAGAGGAAACACAACTACCACCCAAGGAGGAATTCTTCAGCAAACTCTATGGCTCACACATCAGCGACGAGGACTATGCACATGCTCAGCAGGTGTTTAAGGAATTTAGGTGTAAGACTTTGCGGGACTACCACAATCTATACCTGGAAAGTGATGTAGCCATATTGGAGGATATTTTTGAGGACTTTAGGAATATATGTATGGCTAACTATAAACTCGACCCTGCACACTATTTCACATCTCCAGGACTATCCTATGATGCAATGCTAAAATGTACAGGAGTGAGACTAGAACTCCTCTCGGACCCTGATATGCTGATGATGTTTGAGAATGCAACCAGAGGAGGTGTCGCCACGATCTCTCATCGACATGGCAAGGCTAACAATCCCTACATGAAGAATTTTGATAGCTCCCAGCCAACTAAGTATTTGACCTATCTTGACGATAACAACCTCTACGGATGGGCGATGGTACAATCTCTGCCCACGGGAGACTTTGAGTGGGTAGAGTCAGAGGAGATTGAGGAGATCCTAGAGTACCCCGATGACCATAAATATGGTGCCATGGTGGAGTGTGATTTCGAGTACCCCGAAAAGCTTCATGATGCTCACAATGACTATCCACTAGCTCCAGGGAA